GCCCAATTGATTTTAATATCAGTTCGAAAGCTTTGATTATTCAGCTTAAACTGAGTCAAATTTTGTGCAGTTAAATAATTTCAATACTTAATTACAATCTCTATATATACTTACATATAATATTTCTTAAATTTTTAGCATGTCCATTTCCATTTTTCGGAATTATAATGATTCACACCATTTAGGATAAATCATAATCCCGAAAGTTTTTTTTATTTTTAATTTTGAATAAGCAAGACCCTCGAACAAGATTTTTTAACAAAGAATGGATTAATCCAAATAAGGATTTAACATTATTTACTAACATTACAAGAGTGAATGCAGCAGTTGTAGTATTGGCCAGGAACTCAGAGTTATACCAGTTATTAGAAGCGATGAGAGAATTTGAGGATAGATGGAATAAAAAATATAATTATCCATATGTATTTCTAAATGATGTAGACTTTACCGAAGAATTTAAAATTAGAACATCAGCATTGACAAAATCAAAAACACATTATGGTATGTTTTTATATATTGATGTTATTTTTTTAATAGTATTATATTTTAATAATTTTTACATTTTTTGGTTTTTTTTTTTTTTGAAGGAAAAATTCCAGTGCACATGTGGAGTTATCCATCATGGATAAATCAAACAAAAGCTGCTGAAAATCGTAGAGAAATGGAATCAGCTGGTGTAATATATGGTGGATCAGAATCATATCGACACATGTGTAGATTCAATTCAGGGTTTTTCTTTCAACATGAACTTTTATTGCCTTTCGATTATTATTGGAGATTAGAACCTTCTGTTAGATTTATGTGTGATATTGATTATGATCCATTTTTATTTATGCAAAAGAATAAATTGATTTACGGATTTACTATTAGTTTGATAGAATATCAAACTACCATTCCCACTCTTTGGGATTCCGTAAAACAATTTATAAAAGAGTACCCACAACATATTGCCGAGGATAATCTAATGAAGTTTATTAGTAATGATAATGGAGAAACTTACAATCTGTAAGTAATGAAAAAAGAAAAAAAAATATTTTTTTTAATGAAATCATTAATTATCATCTACTTCATATTTGTGACAAAAAGATGTCACTTTTGGAGTAATTTTGAAATTGGAGATCTAAATTTTTGGAGAAGTAAGCCATATCAAGATTTCTTTAATTACCTAGACAAGTTAGGAGGATTTTTCTATGAACGGTATAGTACAATTTATTCTTTAATTCATACATCCTCAATTCTATATACGAATTATGCATTGCTGAATTGCCATAACGCTGTATTGATTACTGCTGTAAAATTTGATTCGATAATTTTGCTGTCAACTGTATTCTCAATATCTCATTAATATATTAAATCAATTTTATATTTTTTAAAAAAAGTTGGGGAGATGCACCAGTCCATTCAATAGCCGTGGCATTGTTTGCTCAAAAATCAAAAGTCCATTTTTTCAACGATATAGGGTACTATCATCAACCATTTCAACATTGTCCACCGGAAAATGAATATCACTATACTGGAAGATGTCATTGCAATCCGAATGATAACTTTGGTATATTCTTTTTTTATTTTAATTAATAATCTGTATTTTTTATTTAATATTTTTTTTACTTATATTTTATTGATATTTGTTTAAAAAAATTAAACAGATCCGTTCTGGTATTCTTGTGCTTCAAAATGGTTTATTGTCTAAATTATTGTTGCCTTCTTTTTTATTTGATGATTCTAATGTTTGGAACTCTCTCTATCATACGATATTAAGGATAATAGATTTTAAACTAATATTTTATCACACAAAAAATTGAATTTTAAAGAAATTGCAAAATTATTGTGTGATTTGTTTATGTAAATTATGTAAAATTTGAAATAATTAATGTATAACTTTATTTTTTTTTTCTTTTTTTTTGACAAGAAAAGGTAGAAAATTTATTCACAACAAATTTTTATATTTGCATTTGATTCTTTTATAATTCATAAGAAACATTTGTCACAGATCTTTTATAAATAAATTGATTGTATGTAAAATATCCATACAAATGCGTTATCAAAGATGATATATCAAATGAGATAGATGGTGAAAGAAATACAGTAATGTACATATATTGCATATATACCTTTTATAACTATATTTATAGCCAGTCAGGTTTAAAATCAGGATTATATGGTACATGTTCTGAAAATATTTCAATAAACTAAATTATAAAAAGGTGGTAAAGTATTGAATTATGAATTAGAAAATCTTTTGGTTTGACTGCATAATTAAAAAGAATCTACCTCTTGGTCTGCTAGAACTTTTGTAACAGCAAAACGTCGATATTCATGAAAAATCGAAGTCAATGACCATTTTTGTAATTTGCGAAGACATCCTACCAAACAGCCTATTCTATGCTATTTTTATTTAAGATATTTAAAATTAATAAGTTTAACTACAGATAAAAAAGATAAGAAAAATAATCAACACACATCTACCTTTCCTTTATTACAATGTATCAATACTGAGGAGAAAAAAAATAGTTTTTCATAGGAGCACTAATAAAAAAAAGATCTAATATGAATATATAACCAAAATACCTGGATGGTTCCTTATGTCTATAAAAAAAAAGAATATTAATAGATACAAAATGGCAATATTTAAGTTAAATTTTAATTTACCTAGAACTTTAACTAAAGCATTACTAATTTCTTTTTGTTCGATTTCAATAAATGGTTCCTAATATATAATATTGAGCGCAAAATAATCGCAGTTAAAAAATTTAATTTAATAATATAATTATTGCATACCTTGTTTCCGTCAATTTTATAATGGAAAACCTTAATTTCTTGTTCATTCACAAATTGTCTCAACTCTTTATTAAATTCATCTGATGAAAGGTATCTGTTTTATTCGTTTGTAATATCATGAATGCAATTAAAATTTGATAAAGCTTTTTACTGTATCTATGAAATTGAGTCGAACATTATACTCTTCAATTTTAATTTTTTTAGAAAGGGAAAATTTTTATGATTTGGATGCCCAGAGCGATAAACACCTGGCGCTACCATTGCAAAATTCAAGGGTGGCACCATGACTTTAACTTCTTCGTCAGGAATGTTGGATAATGTATGTGTTGAAGTAATATTAGCATTAGATGGAGGTTCCGATGCCATTTTTGAAGGACTAGAAAGTTTGGAAAATCCATCTCGCTTAAATAGACTCGAGCTAAATGTCACGTCTGTGTTGTATAAACATAGCGATAGGTTTTACTAATTGAATATATACTCACATGTTAGGCCAACTTGTCATATTAATATTAATATTCACATTAAAATTGACCGGTCGAAAATGGTTCTACCACAAAATCCCGAAAGAACATAATACCGACTAAATTGGCCAACATTATAACTAATGCCGGCTAACTTTATCAGTATTAGGTCCTTTCGGGAATTTGTCATTCGGGATTTTGTGGTAAAACCGATTGAGCAACATCTCAATCATTAGCAAATCGTATTGAGAGAGCTGCTTGAAGACACATTTTTGGTCAATTAGATCATCCTAAAGGCTATAGAAGGAGGTGTTTGAGATCAGTCTTAGGGTGTTCTCAAGTAGCTCCTTCGCTGGTGATCGAGATATTGTTCACACATTCCAATCAGAGTAACTCTGCTGAAAAAATAAGTGGCCACGAATTTTACTTACCGTTACCGTTACTGTCCTTTAGTCAGCTAAACCAGGGCTTTTTTTGAAAAATTGACCAAGTTAGTCGGCCGACTCGATTAAGGTTGTTCTCAATCGGCTTTTTCAATAGGTTTACCGAATGATTTAATTTGCTAGAAAAAAATTGATCGCGATATTTGATATCGATATTCTTCTTTTGCACAGTGTAACGGTAGCAGATAGGGCTGAGTCGGATCGGATAAACAAAATATAAATTCTCTGATCAGTTATTCTCTTTTTGGGCTTGTACTATATTATTCGCACGCGTGGAGTAGCTAATCTCAGTTATTAACGTGTCAAGGCAACACAGATAATAATTAAATAAAGATCTTTTTTTCCCATTATCTCGTTATTCTCGTTATTCTTGTAAAATTATTGGGAAAGATTTTTTTTTCGCACAAAGAAATGGCACATAACATAAAAAATTGAATTGGGAACTATACCATGATAGTACTTGTGAAAGAGATACACATCTACGTGGTTGTTGAAAGAGAAAAAAAAGACTAAAGAATATACCATCCTATAAAAAGGGCGAAACTCAACTAACCCACTGAATAATATTTGAAACTATATATATATGTATATTTAGAATATGGTGAATCAGCTTGGAAATTTCTTAGGTTATTGGACTTTCGAATTCATTTATTTACATTTATATTTTTTAGTAGCGATAAATTCTGAAGATTAATATTAGAACTTTTGTATAAACTTACTATAAAATTTTCTATCCTATAATATTATTAACCATCCTTGGTATTAAAGTTGGTTTTACCACAAAATCCCGAAAGGACCTAATACTGTAAAGTTAGCCGGCATTAGTTATAATGTTGGACAATTTTGTCGGTATTATGTTCTTTCGGGAAAATGGTTTTCGGGATTTTGTGGTAGAACCTGCTCAATCATTGCAGTTAATTTAAGTGATCTTTAATAACAACTTTTGCTGCTAATTCATTGCGTGACTCTGTGAAATACTGTAAATAGAAGGTTGTTAACGTTAATATCAAGTCTTTTTGACTTGAATGATTATCACAATTCATTTAGATGATTCTACAAGTTAGAGTTTGGAACCGGTTTTATCTATTACAAGTCATAGAGGTAAAATTTTGCTGAAACTGAAAATATTGCTTCTGATTAATTAATTTTAATTTTCAGCTGAGAATTTTTTTTGAAAAAGACGTTGCTATATAATTCGAATTTATCAGATATTACGAAAAATAATAAAAAAATTAATGTATTCGTTTTAATTTTTATCAAAGCTATCGATAGCTATTATTTTTAAATGTGTTGGCCAATAAAAGCTTTCATTCTATATTAGTTTTACATTTGTTGGTATTGAAAGTCCCAAGATTTACAATATTGCCACTATGTAAACCCATTGAATAAGTTTTTGTGAATAAATCATTTGAAGTACCAGAATCCTGTTTTTTGAGTTTTTACAAATCTTATATATTTCTTGGAAGTTTTTACATTCTAATTAATGAATGACCTTTTAATTGGTCAACCAAATCAACACGCGAGTGTTGTTCGATCATGTTTATCAGGTTCAGTATCATACATTTGAATCATAATTACGTCATAATGTATTAAAACATTTTTAACAGATTTAAATCAACCATTATCGTTATTTTTAAGATCCCTATTTAGACCTAAAATTCGATCAAGGTCCAATTAGACTGCACGTTTTTAAGCTGAGTTGTCGGAGATTCTCAGAAGGATAGACAAAATACGAACATGATCGTAGGGGAAGTTTAGATACATGGAGGGGGGTGTCAGTAGAAACCAGGCAAATTGTTTTTAGCAAGTTTTTTTTTAAACTTTAAATTAAAATATCTCAACAACTATTAAACTAAACTTGACAGATTTTTTTTTATTTTAATTCTATAACTAAAAAGAATTAAAATAAAAAAATTTTTATCAAGTTTGGTTTAATAGTTGTTGAGATATTTTAATTTAAAGTCTAAAAAAAATTTACTTAGAAACAATTTGCCTGGTTTCTACTGACACCCCCCACATTAGTAATTAAGGGTGTTCTCAGGCAGCTCCATCACTGTAACTTGCTAGTGCTGTAGTGATCGAGATGTTGCTCAAATCATTGTGATTAACTGAAGACGATTTGCTAAAAATTCATTGTGTGAAATGCGGATTATAAATTTTAGGTGTTCTCAATAGGGATGGCAATTTTTATATATACGATTATATACTTATTATTCATTTTTTACATAGTATATAAGTAATAATAAGTAAAAAAAAAAGCTGGTATCTGCAAAAGCAAACTTGATCGGCAGAATTTAAACTTCAGAATTATGTCTTCCATGTGATTCATGTGAATCATAATAAGAATTAGTTAATGATGTATGAATAGGTAAAGGTTAAAAAATTACATAAATTATTACATTGTCCATCCAAACACTTCACTTAATATATCGGCAGCGGCAAATTTTAATTAGTCGGAAATTGAATAAATTAACCAATTACAAGATCAAAGTATGATACCGTATAAAACAATTAGTCGATTAGTCAACTAAATCGATTAACTAATCGATTATAGCGCTTTGCAAAAAGATGTGACCCTATGATTTTGTAATGATGAACGAGGAAAATTCCGAGATTCTAACTGTCTATTAATTCATATTTTCGATCAATCTACAGAATCTCTGATTTTCAAACGATATGATCTGCAGAGGTCACATCTAAAACCGCAATAATCTGTTAAAAGTTAATGGCCGCAGAATTTGATGTTAGTGTTAGTCACCTAGACCCAAACTAATTTGAGACGTTCTGAACCAAGTTACATGGAGTTCAGCAACACGTGGCTCTCGATGTAGTGGACCATCGATATAACGGATTTTGCTTAATACGGAGAATTATAATTATGATTTACTATAATGAGATTTCGATATTATCGTTATGGAGCTTTTGATATAACGGAGCAAAGGACTGGAACCATGGCCTCCGTTATATCGAGAGTTACATTGTATTACCTAAACTATGATGCTAATTTGTTGCATGGTTTTGGCTGTCATTTTTTTCAGTGTAAATTTAAAATTCGCATTTCAATGAATTTTCAGCAAAATTTGTACTAATCGAAATGACTGAGGGTGTTTCTCAAGCACCTAAATTAATAGGTCGGGAAATAGTTTAGCCGGCCAAGTGAGTTTATTATCGCGTTCGCGATGAAAAAAAGATGGTCAGGATTATCTTTTTTATCAGAGTTGTGCTGAAAATTAATATTCGATATGAATCTTTAGTAAAATTACCGTAAAGATCAATTAATTGTAGTACTTGTGCCGATCTCAATGACTCATTGAGAGATGCTTGAGGGCATCCTGAGCAATAAATCCCATTGAGAGAGCTGCTTGAGAACAATCTAAGTTGATTAAGATCAAATAAAACTTATTATATTTAAAAAGAATATCGATACGTTATGGTTATTATATTTATATCTCGTTCGCGCTTATTACAATGGCAAAGAGAAACGGATAATTTATTTACTCAGAAATCAGGTTTACCTATTGTTGAGTAAAAACAAAGACGATTTTTAGTAATCTCTACAAGTTCATTAGTGCATATATTTTATTCTTGTAAACTTTATACTTTGTTGCCGAAATTTTCCAAGAATTATACGCGTTTATCAAACGATGGATTTTTTTAATCAATATTAAGCAAAATTTTCAAAAATGGATCCATTCTTGTTCAACGCATAGCTTCGTCAAGAACTTAAATTTGAATAAGATGTATGTATATATTCCTGCAATTATGCATTAGCACCTAGCTTTGAAAATACCAATCATAAATCTACATTTCTGAATATAGGTTTGGAAATTTAGAAGGATTTTGTGTTACGTATGTGAAAGCGAAAATTAAATGTATCGGGAAATAATCAAAATTTTTTACCAAATTTCGTGATCGATAACGATGAGAAAAAAATTTACCTACTAACTACTGAGTAAAAGGTTTGAAAATCAATCGGCTTGTATTATATTAATGCAGGTCTTCGACCTGACTTCCCGAAACAATTCGGGATCGTTGTCAAAGATAATTCATTATCGTTATGTGAACTTGATTACAATGTTACAATTTATTTTCATCGGAAATATACAAATGATCAAAAAAAAAAAAAAATTTTTTTTTTCATTATTATTCTACAAAAAAGTACTAATTTAGAATATAAATCGAATAATAATTTACTTTTTTAAGCTATATACCTCATAATTCTAATTAAAATATTGATATATTCTGATTTTAATTGATATTAGAATCAGAATTATTCTATCCAATTTCTTACATCAAATCTTTATAATCAATGATAAATTGTTGGCAATATTTTTCAAGCTGATGAGCATTCAAATTTATTGCCAATTGTCTCATAAAAGCCACATTTGATATCGAAACTAATCGCGAGAGCTTCAATTCCATAAGATCTTTCAAATGGTCTAATTCATAAGAATTTGCCAACTTTAGTAAGTCTTCATATATTATCATTTCCAGGGATGGATTTATATCGATCCCATTTAAACTTTGAATTGCATATTCGATACTCTGGCCATATAAGTAACGCAGCAAGACACGTACTGAGTTTGGATTGACATCTTCAATCACAATCGTAACCGGATTGACTGGACTTGATACCGCAAAATCTCTTGACATGAATTTCTCACGAAAAAAGTTTGAGGTAGCCGCGAGCATATATCGATTTGTTCTTATAATTTCTCCGCTCACATTAAAGACTACGTCATGCAAGAAAGTTGCCTGATCTTGATTCAATAGGAATTCAAACATCGAATTGGTAAAATTAAATTGATTATGTAATCTGACATGTATCTCTACATTTGGTGGTTTTATTTCTCGGACGTTTGCACATTTGAGCATATTAGAAAATTTGGAAAGTGACGGACTGACGTACTTCCTTTCTCCTGGTTCACTGTTCAAAACTAAATCACTTGCTGAACACCAGTTTTCTGGATTAAATGGATTCGAGTCCTTATGAAAATTAAGGAATAATGGTTCGTTTTGTGCAATATATTGACTCAAATTAATATCTTCATTTGAACATTCTTCGTCAAGCCACTTATAAACTTCATAAACGTTATGTTTGAATGTATCTCCCCAATCATTTTTCCACATCTCATCATTTAAAAGGGTATCATGCAAAAAACGAAGATGTTTAACTACGGTAAAAACATCCGGTTTACCAAGTGATGGATATTTTGAGAGTACAAATGGTGGTGGTATAATATCTTCTGCGACCAATGATTTTTGGCTCCATGCGATTTCTTTATACTTAGGAAGGATTATCTCTTTAAAACAATTTAAATCTCTAGGGGGTTTATAATACATTTTATAAGGATCGTCTAAACTTTTTGCAACCGGAACGAATGGAATTCGTTCAACACTATCTAATTTAATATATTGAAAATTATTATAAAGACAATTAACCAAGACAAAACCTCGATATCGTAAATCAGACGGTGGATTGCGTTGATTTTGATATTCTTCGATTTTTTCTGCGCATTTATTGAATGTTTCTTGGTTGATTCTATTTTTGTATCCAATAACTGATAACTCTGCTGAATATTCATTAAGATCCGGATGAAGAAAAACGTCTGAGTCTGCAAAAACGGTATAAAAAATCGTGCTGTTATGATATAGATCGGAAATTTTCTTCAATGTTTTTCTACTATCTGTAGGGAAACAACGCCTTCCCTTTAAACCATGGATAATTCTACGATAAGGCGTATCTTTGTCATATTTGAGTATACTTTTTAGAAACATCATATATTGATCATCAAATTTTTTAGGAAATTCAACATCCTCAAATATATAGGAGAATACATCCCGATGAGGAACATTAAGATCTGCCAAAATTCGTTCATCAAGTTCATCAGAATAAGACAAATATGTTGTATTATTCTTCAACTTATATAAGTCTACTTCTTTTGGCAAAATATATCCACATGAAACTGGCTTTAAAGCTGGCTTTGATACTTGATCTAATGAACTTATGCGCACTGGCCACATAGGCAATGAAAGGATCATTGTCTTAAGATTATGATCATATTTCACTCCTATACAAATAGATAAAATAAATCTACACAATCACTAATTTACAAAGATGTAATATAAAACTTAAAAGGACAGTTTACCTATTTCATCCCAGTTATTTCGCAATAAATTACGGAGATCTTCGATTTGGGAACGTGCTAAGGTACTGAAGAGAATGTCCACGCTATTACTCCTACCCACCGGAAAAATTTTTAATATACGTAACATACTGAATAAATGTATGCTTAATCATCATCAAATTCGACCCTTTTTTTTTTGGTTTTTTTTTTTTTTTACCTGTGTTCATAACTGCCATCAGCAATCAACGGAAAGATGTCTTTGGTTTGTAACATATGTTGGAGTACCTTGCAACCATATTCAACTGTATACCTTGGATGATTTCGGGAAATGGGTGGGAATGGCCAGAATTTTGATGTGGGCTTACTTTCTAGATTAATTTTTTTACTTTTCTGCAATTCGATAATTTCTTTTAGGAGTCCACAATGAATTTTTGGTAAGAACTCAAGCAAGATATGTCTATTCCATCTAAGTTTCTGATGATCGATATCTGGTGTGTCATCCTTTTCAATTAGTAACCTCGCACGGTCCGAACTTTGAGCCCAGGTTCCACTTAAATGAACAGGTAAATTTGTAATGTCAGGTAATGAAAGAAAAGAGTACATTCTACCCTTAAATTCACTTGGAACTTCACTTAAATTTCCAAAAAGATTAATTGGTTGGTCCGAAGTATGGATTCTTTTTTTAGAACTACTTAGCTGTGCAGCAATACCACCTAATATACGTAATCGATGTCGCTTTGCATATTGTTTCAGCTGAGGATCTTCTGGATCTTTTTGAGCTCCAGTAGCGATAATCCAATGATCTATTTGTTTATTTGCACTGTCAATTAATTCAACCTTCATCTCATAAATTTGAAGTTCATCGTTGCTAATACGTTTTCTTTTATTTCGTACATCATCATTTAATCCTATTATGGCTGCTTTCCAAAGAGGAACCATTTGTTGTGGTGATGTACCTCCTTGTATGTGAGATACTTCAAATGTTTCAATATTCCGGAGAAATAAAAATTGTGAGGCAGCATTTGATTTAATGCTGTTAACTAATCGAAGAACATCAACAGTAGAAAAAATACTATCAGATATTTCACTTGGTTGTTGTCGGAATGGTAATCGAAATAGTGTTCCTTCGAAGGTTGAACGAAAATTGTTGCCTTCGATACCTTCGTAAGGAATCAATTGATCTCTTTCAGGGAATCCATTGATGCCATCTTTGGGAATAGTTCCGATACTACCACGCTCTTTTGTTGACAGATATTTCTGATGTGGATCCAAAAACGCAATATAATCTCCACTGACGAAACTTGGAACGTCGGTAAAATGATAGCATGAATTAAAGCCCAATCCATGCTTCCCAATCTTTGTATCATCACCTTGTTTTCCGCCAACACGGATCTGCATAAGCGAATCAAAGTCGCTTTTTTTAAATTTTGCGTTGTTGAAGATTAATATGGCGGGTCCTTGCCAAGCCTTCATTTCATTTGAAAGTAAAGTCTCCGTGGGGTGTCGACGAGCATCGATTATTACATGAAATCTAGTAGCTCCTGCATCATCAGCTGTTGTTTTTAAGTGGATAATAATTCAGAAAGAGACAAAAAATAAATAAATAAGTAAAAAATAATCAAAGCATTAAATTTAGGTCGAATTCTTGCCATTTTGAAGGAATTCCTTAAAAACACTTTCGGAGGGATAATCCTAAAAAAATATTAAACAAATATCCTAAATATGTATAAATAATGCATTTCGAAGGTATCAAAGACGAACCTTTGTAATATTACGGATAGACGAGACAAGTGTCTCATTTTGACCATAAGGTTGACAATTCGAGGTCAAAGACATTATATAAAAATATTTCAAGAAAAAGTGCAAAATCTGTCCGCAGGATTGTGAATCAATGAAATACGCAAATACGCAAATATAGTTTCTCATTTACTACAAAATTACACGGATGACTTGTTACTGTTGTACAACGTCTGCTGAATGTACTGTACAGAACATTCCCACATTGCATCACCCACCTTAAAATATATATTCAACAATCTTTTGATTTCAATACGTATACGGTATCACATACAAGTTCGAACAAATTATCATAAACCCATGCAAATTACTCTTATAAACATATAAATGGTCTCTTTGCAATTAGCATTATTCAATGAAATTTCCGGATCACTTGATCTATAAAAGGTCGCGTACATGTTACACGAATCCAAAAAGGGTCGGTCGAGATGCCGGGTGATTCAATGGATCAAAATGCCAGGAAGATTAAATAATACTAACCTACCCGGCTTTATTTAAATGTACGCGCAAAACATAAACTGTTGGTTGATACGAACTATTATTCCCGACATGTAAGCCCGAGAAATGTCTAAACGCTAGCGCGTTTTTGGTATTACGTAAACACATAAGCAACATTAGTTCCGGAACAAAATAATTGATTTGTTACTTATCAGTTATATGAAATTACGTACTGTACGTACCTACGTAGCTCGAAAATTTCTTTGAAAAATTAATACGTACTACATGGGAACAATAGAAACAATTGGCCTAATAAAAAATTATGTAACCGATTCTTTTAAATATGATATTCATGTCACTATAACAATTTTTTTTCGGGAGCTACTTAGGTGCCACCTGGAGTGGTATTTAGTTTATTTACACTAGGGTTCGAGACACGAAGGCACGAGCATGCCCTTTGAGACGTGCCTATGGGCTAATGTTATCACTCAGATACCAAATAACCCAAAATCTTATTATTAATTGTGGCAGATCATAATGAAATCGGATTAAAATGAAATGAGGGTTTCTATTTAACCCTCTAAAACCCACCTATACT